GCTTGTCACTATTCCAAGCAATTCCGCTTGGAGCCGCAAGAAAACAGTCCACATTCGACGTTTCTTCCCTTTTTTTTTTTTTTTTTAATTCGACGTATCTTTCAAGTCCTGCCATCTACCAAACACCAAATACAGTAATTGACGACCACCAACGAAGCCTTAGCTCACTTGGTACACCCCCCCTGGACTGTTAAAATACAGACTCAAGTTCGAATCCTGATCTCAAGTTCGAATCCAGATACAATCAGATGAATAAAATTAAATTTAAATAATTCTGAATTGCCTAGGGCCGATCAGTTCAATAATGATATCTAAAGCCCGTCGCCCTTTAGCAAAAAAAAAAAAAGACGACTACCAACGAGCCTTAGCTTAGTTGGTACACCCCCCCTGAACTGTTAAAATACGGACCTCCCGAGTTCAGGGAAAAAAAAAAAAAAAAAAAGGCCTCTTCTACGACGTGCAACCCGGCGTCCCCCACACTCCGCTCCCACCTACGCTGCCGCTCATCTAGGCCGCTCACTTACGGCCGCTCAGCTATGCCGCTCACTTACGCCGCTCACCTATGCCGCTCACCTCACGGTGCCGGTCGCCAGCAACCACACACCATGACAGTGAACTCCTGTGCACCGCAAATTCAGTAAGCGCGATGAAAGCTAAGGCGAGTTAATACATAATCCACACACCATACATAGACGACTGACAGAAGAGGGATTCGAACACACGACATGCGAGTGAATACATAATCCACACTTTTCTTTTCTTTTCTTTTCTTTTCTTTTCTTTTCTTTTTGTTGAGGGAGATATCACATATCCTCATCCTCAGAGAGAGAGAGAATACCTCCCGCTATATCGGGCCACATACATCCCTCAAGCTGATTGGTGACTTCACACACACAGCAATCAACTTCTCTACCTCTGTCTCCCTTTCTTCATTTCGATAATTAGCGTCTTTCTCTGCTGTCCGTAGAGCGGCGTTTCCTCTTTTTTTTTGCTTTTTTTTGCATCTTTTTTTTTTTTTTTTTTCGTTTCGAGTACTTGATACAGAGAGGCGTCTACATACACGAGAACACCGAAGCATAGGAATCAAAAAAACTGAATACTTAACTCTTTCACCGGCCGGGCCTCTCACACACATCGTTGACCCTCAAAGATCAACGACTGATATTACCTTCCTTATCAGCAGATAAAGATAGAAGATTGATTATTAAATCGACGGATAATACCTTCCTTAATAACGAAGCATGGGAACTTATCATAGGATAAATCATTAATTAATCCTCAGAGATTGAAGATAGATGATTAAATCGACGACGGATAATACCTTACCCTCCTTATCAACAGATAAGATCGACGACGGATAATACCCTTACCCTTATATAATACCCTTACCCTTATATAATACCCTTACCCTTATATAATACCCCCATCACTTCATTCCATACCCTGCATACCCCCTATATTTTGGGGCACATACATCCACTCCCCGCCCAGGACCCCAGGAAGTTGTTCCTTCAGGGTGTGTGATATAAAGATCAAAAGGGAGAAGAGGGATAATAATTACTATAATACCCTATTTATTAATAGATAAGATGGGTGGATAACACCCTTATATAATGGATAAGCTCATAATGGATATACTGTAATTACCCATAATAATGGATAATTTTATCTTATCGATGGATATAGATCGCTGGATAATATATGTATATATCCATTACCGATAATACATGAATAAGTGTTAAATAATAATGCATATCCATTATATTTACAATATATTGTCACAAGAATATCAGAGCGCAAATGCGGAAAAAAAAAAA